CCTTTGTGCTGGAGAAGAGTATTGAATATACCATGGTCTGCTAGGAGAACAAACAGATTCATTCTGGAAAGGGTGAAACCAGGCTACTCCTTGGAGGCAAGGATTCTGAAGCTTCATCTGACATATTTTGGGCATGTTGCAAGGAGGCACCAGTCCTTGGAGAGGGACATTGTGCTTGAGAGGAAGGAGAGACAATGCAGGAGAAGAAGACCCTTGATGAGATGGATTGACTCAGTGACTGGGGTAATGAAGGTGGGTGTGTCAGAGACAGTTAAGGTTGTCAGGATAGAGCAGGGTTCAGAGCTGTTGTACATAATTCACTATTAGTTTCAGGTGACTTGATGGCACAGAATAACAAACTTTTATATCAAGTTTTTGTTGTTGTTGTTGTATATCATTGAGTCAGAAGTGACCCATAGACCCTCAGGAGTGTTTTCAGAGGCAGTTAATCACATGGTAGGAGACTGCCCATCCTCCTATGAATCACCTGGCAGAATAGAATGGTTTGCAGACTAGAATGTGATTGCACTTCAGATTCTTTCCACTAAACCTAGAGCTCCCTATATAATTAAACATAGCATGCACTGAGTTTAAAAAAGTAAATAATTGTTAACATTGCTGCATTTTCCCTCATACCCCCTTTTCGACCTGAGAAAAAGTATTGCTTTCATGAAAGTAGCAAGCTTAGTGATGCATTGATTAGGCATTTGCCTTATGAAAAAGTGAGTAGTGCTAACTTTCAGCCATGTTGTGGAAATTAACAGCCTTAGAAACTGCAGTATAGTTCTACTGTCTATATAGATTTGCTATGATTCAGGATTAACTTGACAGAAATAGGTTACCTTTATTGGTTTGTAAAGGTATTTATTGGTTTGTAAAGGTATTCAATGCTCTTATGACTATCTGCATTGTACATGCGTATCTTACCACCAGACACATACAGACTGATATTCAAATTTCCAACTAGCTAAGAATGAGGCACACATCCCCACTGTCTTCATCCATTCTATGAGTGCTACATTCATCTGTGATCAAATTAGACATCTGAGACACTTATACAGCACTGGCAAAGTGAAAGTTACCATTATTTTCAGAAAGCAAATAATAAACAATTACAACAGAGTCTCTGAAGGGAATATTTAGCCTTCAATAGACTGATGCTGGGCTGGTATACTGTGGCTTGGGTCACATATTATCTTCATACCACCATTGCTTCTAGCTATCACCATGCTGAAGGGTTGTAGGGTAGAGTTAGGCTGCATGACCCCTAATAGCTTCTGATTTGCTTCTGAACCTCATAAAACATTGTTTCATAAACAAATAGACCCCGGCATCTAAGTCTCTGCCCTCTGCTGCTAGGTTTTTGTAGGCTTCTGTTCCTGGTTTCTGTTGTGTGATACAGGGCTACATGTTTATTGTGCCTGCCACAATACTATCTAGGCCAAAGCTGCATAAGGACCTGCCTGGCTCCCATCACACTACCTAGGACAGGAAGTGTGTTGCACAGTCACACTCAGGCCTCTGCCAGCTCACTGTAGCTCTAACTGCCTGTGTGAACTGAACAACCCACCATCTTTCTGTCGTCAGTGCTAAAGCTCTCTTCTCTGAGTTTAGGAAGTTTTCAGCACAGGTACCCTTGGTCCAAAGAGAACATTCTCCTCCAGAATCTTCCTGTTGGTAGTTTGCTCTCCCTGGAACTTCTGTGAGATTGGTCCTTATGTAAGACTATCAGGATGCCAAAACTGATCAATCATACAACTGTATTGTATGAGATGCAATTCTCTTGGTTGGAATTTCAAGTAACTATATAATTTTCAAGATTTTGATGATAGCATCTCTGTATTGTAATCCGAGGCTTGAATTTATTAATCAGTTCTTTAACCTTAAAAAATGCTGAGTGAATTCTACTTTTTCATCTCTAATTCCAGCTCTCTGTGTGTTCTAATACTTAGCTTTGTCTTCTCAAGCTGCTTTTTGAAATCTTCTGTTCAGTCTTTTACTTTAGCATCTCTTCCTTTTGCTTAGTGTTCCCCACACTCTAGTGTAATTTTCAGAGTATCTGCTGACATTTGTTTTGGTTTTCTTCTTTCTCCTCTGTCTGTGAAATGACCCTTTACTCTCCTCATGGAAGATATATTGAATGATGGCAGAAGCACCAAAAGAAGATGGAAGGCATGCACGGAATAACTGTACCAAAAGAATTGCCTGACCCTCAAATATTTCAGGGAGCACCCCATATGATCAAGAACCAATGGTAATGGAAGATGAAATTCAAAGTGCACTGAAGAAAAAAAACTAAAATCCCAGGAATTGATGGGCTATAAACAGATATTTTCCAACTAACAGATACAGGTTTGGGAAAGCTTGACAATATATTCCAGGAAATTTGAGGGACATCTGCCTGGTAGACTAACTGGAAGAGATCCATATCTGCGCTCATTCGCCAAAAAGGTGGACAAATAGAATACGGAAATTATTGAGCAATATCACATGCGAACAAAATACTACTGAAGAGATTTTTTAAAAAGCTAGATTTAGAAGAGGCCATGGCACCAGGAATATTATTGAAGTTGTCATAGAGATGCTGGCTGAAAGCAAAGAATATCCACAGAATATCAGTTTGTGCTTTATTAGCTACGAAAAGCTTTTGACTTTGTGGATCATAACAAAATATGGCTGAAAAGAATGTGAATCCCAGAACACTTGATTTTTGCTCATGCAAAATCTGTACTTAGTCCAAGAGGCTGTTGTGCAGACAGAGCAAGGGAACACAGTAT